ATTGGAAACACAAGTTCAAATCCACACTCTGCCACTTCCAAAGTCATGTGACCGCAGGGCAATGGGCTGAGCTTCAATTTGCTCATTTGTAAAATGGAGATAAAAGGAAAATAGTCTAAAATGGCCTAATGAAGACTGAATGTTCTGAAAATGAGTGGGGGTCTCCAGAGTTCCCTGGGAAGAAGTACCTCCCTGTTGGCTTTCTCTTTTCCTGATAATCTGAGTCAGTGCAGGCCATTTGTGTCCCAGACTGTCCACTGGGCACCATGCCACAGCCCCATGATCCCACCCAAAAGAGCAACTCAGCCTTCCTCCCCAAGTGACTTCTGTGTGAGTCAGGACTGCAGCATGACATCAGGGCCTCCAGCCAGTGGCCCAAGGTCTTCCTGGTTCCCTCTACCTGCTTCCCCCCATGCCTGTAGGAGCACAAGGAAAAGAGAAGAACAGGACAGCATGACTGGCCTCCCCAACCACATCATCCCCACCCCACCAAGGTTAAGGCTCAGAACCTGGAGAGGGCAAACCCCAGGTCTCAGCAGCCCTGGGTACAACGTGAGACATTAGTGCAATAGCTGACCTGCCTTTCTCACTCCCTTCTGCTCAGGGGCTGTCCCAAAATCAGTGTACATCTTCTAGGGCCTGGCAGCTACTTGATAAGGCAGTAGGATGCCATTTTGGACTCAGAGGTAGGTTCAGAGGCTGAGAAACCCCAGGGTGCACATGTCATGTGTGCGTCCACACACCAGTGGAGACACAGAGCTCTGAACAAAGTAAAAGCCGTGCTGGGCTCAGGGGAAGTCCAGCCAGAAGAAGAGAGGTAGGAAGGAAAGAGAGATGAGCACAGGAGACCAAATCAGAGGGCAGACTTGGGCCAAATGCTAGCAGCCCACAGCACGCACGCTTGTATTCACTCCATCTGTTGAGCCCTGCCAGGAGCTCACCTAGACATACCTGGAAATCCCCTGCCTGCCAGAGTCTTTCCAGACTCCAGGAAGGGCCCATTTGCTCCAGATGTGTTCTTTCATTTTCTACCCTGAAAGAGGCTTAGCCCAGCAGAACAACCCTGTTACTCTCTCCCCTAAGTAACAGTCCCCGGCCTGTTATCTCCTCAGTGTAGCAGTCTCCCCTGGACTTCACAGCTTCAAGGCTTCTTGGAGTTCACTTGGCCCAGGACCCATCTCTGTGTTCACTCTACAGATGGGAGTCTAGGCCCAGAGGGGAGAATGCTGCTCAGGTGTCCACAGTCATCAGTCACCAGGTGAATAAGAGCTAGTTCATGAGTGCCCCCAAGTCTGGACTCGTCTCCTGCTAACTGAAATTGTCAGGCTGCTTTGTCTGCCCAGGGTAAAACATGAGCCAGGAACAGGCAGCCCTGGGTTCAAATTCTGACACAGAAGCCCTACCTGACATTCAACCAAGCAAGAATGACCTCACCTCTTTGACATGTGATACTGTATCTTTAAAACATGAGTAATAATTCCTACCCCATTGGGCTGGCACAAAAATAAATAAGACAACAGAGAAAGAAGACTTAACGTAAGTGTCTAACACAGAAGCAGTGGCAATGAGTATTGCTGTTGCTATTTTGCCATAGGCATAGAGACAAGGCCTCCTGGGTCCCTCTGCATTGAGGCTCCCTTCCCCCATCCCTGCTTTCCCCAGTCAAGACCTCCTCTGTCTCACCATGAATCTAGCATCCCAGGGACCATCACTGCTCTGTTCCCCCGTTTCTACCAAGAACCCCACTACTCACCCCACTCCAAAGCAGCAAACATACAAGTCAACTCCATGTCTGGGTCTGGCTCATTCATAGTGGTCCTCACCTCCCTTTCTCTTCCCAGAAGCCCAGTGGTAGCTCCAAGCATCAAGGGCTCCAGCCCCTACTGCTGCCATGTCCCCTAGGACGGGGCCTCCCCCACAAGCACACGTTCCAGTGATTCCTCTAGGAAGGCAAATGCCTGAAGGAGTTCAGGTGTGTGGGCATCTTCCCTGAACCAAAGAAAATGAGAGGGAGAATGGGACAGCTGGCTGGGGGCACTAGTCAGAACTGGAAGGCATAGGAGGGACTCCTGGAGGTACCAGTGTGACAAAGGCCAAGCCTCTGACAGAGCAAGAACTCTCAGCAATGGCTCTAGGTAACCCAGGTGGGGCCTGCCCTCTCCCCAGTGCTCCAAATGAGTCCTTTCTGCCCTAGGAGACCCTTGGCTCATTTGCCAGGCTCCAAAATGAGAGTAAAACCTGGGGCCGCCTCCCCCATTTGCTGTCTGTGTATCTTTGGGCCTGACTTTCCCTCCTGGGCCCGGGTCTCCACAGGACTGCTATGGTGATGTCTACGAAGCATCTAGCAGAGCCCCACCCCCAAACTGAAAACGCAATGCTCACCTGTCCAACATGCTGCAGGGGAAGAGGCACGAGGTCCTAACAGCATATGTGGTCCTCCCCTTGGGCAATCTATCCTGAGCCCCCTCCTCCTACCCCCAGGCCTGGCTGTGCCCTCCCCATTTTGCTTGTGGACTTCCCTGCCACTCCTGTGGGAAAAAACACAGCAGTGAGAAATCCCCACCCACTCAGAGGATAAACTCAGGGCAGTGACACCATCCTCCCTGCCCTTCTTCCTTCTCCCCTGACCCCGTGACTCAGACCCACAGCTCTAAAGCCACCGCACAATCATAATCTCAGAGGTTGCTTGATTTGGTATGTTTTCCTGCACATAGCCCAAACCCTGTAAGTCCAACTAAGAACCACCCAGCAAGAGGCCAGACACCCTCCACATCACTTTCTAGGAGTGTCTAGATGTGTGGAATGCCAACTCACAGCTCCAGGATCACAATTCATCTCTGAACCCAAACAGGATGGCACACCTTGATGTCAAACCCAACCCCACTCCAAAGAATGAAGATTTTCTACTGCAGAGAAGGCCAGCGTTTAAGGAAGGGGATCCCCCAGAAAGGTTCAGGAGCCAGCCTGACCAGAATAAGGACACAAACTCCAAAAGGACACCGCTTCTGTAACCATCCTGTCCATAAACATTAAAGCATCCAAGCCAGCTGTCAGACTTGGAGCATCTTGGATATTCAACCAACCTGCTCCCACAGGATGTCAGGACAAGGGGACAGAGACAGGAAGGAAAACTGGGTCAAAATCCCAATAGCCCTTCTCATGCTGAGACTCCTATGAACCCAGGCATCTCCCCTCACTTGCTGGAAGATCTGATCTCTCACACAGGAATCCAGAATGCATTGGAAAGTTCCCTGCAGGCTGCAGGAGAAGCCACCATGGATGCTATGACCACACAGAACCCCAGAGGTCAGTCACGGGGCCAGTGAAGCATCAGCATCGCTGAGGTCACTTAGCACACGGGCAAATGCTCTCTCCCTTGCCAGCTACTCAGGAGACAGAGATCAGGAGGATCGCAGTTCGAGGCCAGCCAGGGTAAATAGTTCATGAGACCTTATCTCGAAAATACCTAACACAAAAAAAGGACTGGTGTAGTGGTTCAAGGTGTAGGCCCTGAGTTCAAACCCCAGTACCACAAAATAAATAAAAATAAAATGACAAATGACACATTAGTGCAAAAACAGATGTCCGCAGAATGGACCCGAGAGGATTTCACTGACATCAGGACACTCCATGTTAGTCCTGGCAACATGGGGGAGGAAGTCTTCTGTAGGCAACAGTTAGTTAAAAGTTAATGATGAAACTCCAGCTATCAGTGAAATGCACACACCCATTTCCATTCCCAGGTAAGTGGAACTAGGAACCACTCTCATACCCTCAGCTCACGACTCCACTCCCATCAGCCCAGTGCAGCCCACGGGTTAGATCCCCACTGTCCCGGCCTCCAGCAGTGACCCACCTATCTACAGGCCTCCAGACTACAAGAAAGGCTCCTGCCTGGCTTTAGATTTCCTAGAGATTTCTGGGAGGCCAGAGGGAAATAGGGTGTCATGGCATCTGAATGAAGAACTCTCACAGTTCAAACAGCTTCATCATTTCCTAATAGACAAAGTACTACACACGTGCTTCTATGCAGGGGACCTTAACTGCCCATTATCCTCAACCCCCCCACACACACACACACACACACACACACACACACACACACACACGCTTTACTATTTGTTAATATTTCGCCTCAGTGATAGATCCCGCGTCTGAGTCATCCATCACGCATTTCTCATTAAGGCAGGTTTGGCTTAGAAACAAGTCCCCTTCTCTGCCAGTTCACTGCCTTAGGCTCCAGAATCTGCCAATTGGCCAACTAAACCCTAGTGACAGAGGCCCCCTGGGGCACTGGGACTCACAATCCTCTTCTCTGGTGTGCTCCACCCTGGAACCTTCCCTCCATCTCCCTGAGACTTTCCAAGCTCCAACTGCCCCCATTCCCGTTCCCTCCTCAAACCCTAATCTTTTCGGGCCTCTACGGTGATCTTCCCAGAATCTGTTCCTGTCCTGCAGCCTTTGGATGTTCCCCAGTCGTCCACTCTTTCAGGGCCAAGCACGAGGGGGGGACCCACCTAACCTTTGCGCCCCTCCTCCAAAACGCCCCCTCCTCAGGACTGGCGATCAGGGTGTTTTCCTGACAGGGCTCCCTCCCTCTGAGCCCCGCCGGCCTCTTCTATCCAGCAACCATGAGCCAGAGACAGCTCTGACTCCATCCCCACTCCACATCCAGGGCCTCGGTAACTAGTCACCCACCCGACCTCTTTGCAGTGGCTCTTGGGGGTGCAGAGCGCCCCCACCCCCTTCTCCGCCCTGATAAAGGGGAGGCCAGATTGGGGCGCAGTAGCTCCCGGCGTCTCCAGCTCCCTCTGGGCGCTGGAACCCCCGCCTGCGGCCGGGGCAGGGCGCGCGCACGTGCGCGGAGGCCGGCGTTGGACCTGGGGAGGCCCGGGGTGCGGGCGCCGTGCGGGGAGGGGACACGGGCTCGCAGATCCAGGCACCGGCCGCAGACAAAGGCCGCCCCACCCCGCGCCGCGCCGCGCCACGCAAGCACTCACCGCGCCGCGCCGATCCCGGGACTCGGGGACGCGGCGGAGCGCAGCGAAGTTGCCGCCGCCGCGAGGCCCGGCCCGAATGGGGCCGGGGGCGGCCGGGAGCCCGAGGGGCGGAGCGGGGCGGGCTGGAGGAAGCGCGGGTCCGGAAAGGCCGTCCGGGTGCGCCCCCGAGCCGGGATTGGCCCCGCAGCGGCAGCTTGGGTAAAGGCCTGTGTCCGCCCGCCCGCTAGGCAGGGCCCCGGGGCCTGGACCCCGCCCCCAATCCCAGCCGGACCCTGGTGCTCTCCCGATAGGGGGCGCGGGCCTACTGGCTGCTCACCCCCCCCCCACACACACACACCCGATCTCCTGCTCCCAAGAGCCCAAGTTGCTTTTCTGTGAGAGGGGACAGGTGACCGGCCACTGACCACGCCCCACCCTCCAGGCTGCTGGCTCCGAGCCCAGCTGGAATCCAGCTGCCCGGTCTCAGCCACACTAGGCTGGCACGGCAGCTTAGAAAGGGTTAACGCGACAGCGAGGAATTAAGAGCTGCTGGGAGCTCTATAAATACAGTGTCGTGGGCGCCTGAGCCAACCGCAGGGCAATTTCCACTGAGATGGTTTTCCTCTTTTCTTTCCACCCACGGCCACCAGACCAGTCCTGCCCCCACCCCTCCATGCCAGGCTTCTGGCTAGCCCAGGCTCCAAAAGGACGAATAAGCCTGCGCCCCCAGACCCTCTTCCAAACCGGACTTGGGTTCTGTCCTTACCTAGTCCAGCTCCAGTCTGGGAAGATATGGGGATCAAGTCTGTCTGAATTTTGCCACAGCCACACCTGTTCATCAAAGTGGAGGGAGGTTTCTGTGCAGTGTAAGCAGAGAGCTTTCTGTGCCGGGCCTCTTAGCTCTTTGCGACAGCCCCTCCGGGTCGTTAATATTGTACCACTTTGTAGATGAGAAAACTGAGACTCAGAGGGATGAAGGGACTTACCGCCAAGTGACAGCAGCTATATTGATCGGGCTTAGGAAACATGCATGAGCAGACGTGTGTCTCTGCATGTGTCAGCCACTGTTTGAGTTCTTCCTCGTTTTTTCTCATTTAATCTGCATAACAACTCACTGAGGTCATTATCCTCATTTTTACAGACAGGGGGATTCAGCACAAAGAAATTAAGTCACTTACTTGACTTAGCTATCACCCAGCTATTAAGGGAGGAACCAGGGTTTGGTCCCCTTGAATTTGTGTGCTGGGTCTATGATGGATGTATGGAGGTGGTGGCGTGTATCTTTGTGAACACACGCAAGCAGCTGTCTGAATTTTAGTCTGTGTGCCTAAGTCTCATCGGAATATAAGTTTGATTGTGGGCATCAGACTTCAGAGATTCTGGACCAATCCACACTGCTCCCCACTGCCCCCGACAGGCCCTGTCCAGCCTGGGGCTGTCCTCACAGGAGTCAGGATGAGTGCCCTCACTAGGCCCAGTAACCTGGGGGCAAAACGTCCCCAGGAGAGGTGGTCCTAGGCTGACAGACCCAGATCCCTGCAGCAGGGCCCTAGAATGGCATTTGAACTGAGCTAACTATACCGTTCTTCACCACCAGTCGGGCTGTGTGTGTTTTGTGCCCTGCAGCCCTATTTCCCAAGATTTGCAGGCTCACAGGGAAGGCATGATTTAGCCATGATGGTGAAGCAACAATGGAAAAGGCTTCTACTTGCCTAAAAGCACATGCCAGGAGGGAAGGAAATGGGTACTGGCTCTCATTTCTGCAAGCAGGGGGTTGAGCTGCAATGACCCCTGGGAAAGGGAAATTTCCTAGACAGGGTATAAATGGTGTGTCCTAAGGGCCAACTCAGCTGAGACTCAGACACTTGGCCAAAGACATAGACAACTAGAGTGACTGACCATCCGGACACACAGGAATGTTGTGTCTGTCATGAATGCTGGTCTGGCATCCCTGGGAACTTGGAAGTGAGGTGCTTCCAGGAGATTCCCATCTGAAGCAGAGACATTCAGGGTAGATAGTGGTCTCCATGCATTCTGTCAGGAGCCTCCCCCCACCTCCTACTTCCACAGAAGTTATTCAGAGAAGTCTGTCCCCAGTTTTGCTCAAGTTCCCCCAAAGAAGTCACAAACCAATCCAAAATTGGGAGCAGTTTCTCCACTTCTTTTTCTACCTACCCATTTTGCAGGCTCTTCAAATTCAACGTGTGCAGAAAGTGAACTATCACCTGTCCCCGAAATCCATTTCTCCTCCTAAATATTTAGGGAGGACACAAGCCCCAAACCAGGACTCAGCCTACACTTCCGCTCCCTTGCTGCTTTGAGTCCACCCTTCCCGTGAGTACCCTCTTGCCTCCCCCTCCTCATCTGAGCCCCCATCACTTTCACTGGATTGCTGGGGGAAGGGAGCTCTTAACTAGTTCTCCAAACTTGAACATCTCAGTCCCAGAGATTTTTTTCTAAAATGTAAATCCTCCTAAAATCTCCTTTCCCCACTTGAAGCCCTCCAACTCTTCTCATTTGACCTCAGGCTGCTAATTGTCTCCTGAAATTTATTTTCTTCCTCTTTCTTACCAAGAGTACAGTTTTTGTTCTAAGAAGTTCCATGCCAAGTTAAAAAATAATGCATCCCTTTTCAGACTCCCTTGCAGCTAGAGATAGTCACATGACCCAATGTGGCCAATGAGATGAAAGTAAAACTCACTGGGGGTAAGGGGAAAGCTTAAAAAAAAAAAAAAGCAAGCTTGCACTACGGCAAAAAGCATGGCAGTTCCTTAAAAAATTAAATTAAATTAATAGGATTGTCATAGGATCCAACAATTCCACTTCTGAGGATAGCCCTCAAAACATTGAAAGCAGTCTCAAGGACACACTTGTATACATCATTTTCATAGCAGCAATATTCACAACTGCCGAAAGCAACCCAAGTTTCAAGTGATGGTTCAATGGGTAAGCAACTGCGGCAAGTACACACAACAGAACACCCCCCCCACCACCACCACCCAGGTACTTTAATTTAGCCCTGAATGTCCCACAAAAGGCCTTGTGTTAAAGGCTTAGTTCCCATCTTGGCACTGTTGGGAAGTGATAGACACTTGAAAAGATGGGCCTAGCTGGGCACTGGTGGCTCACACCTGTAATCCTAGCTACTCAGGAGGCAGAGATCAGGAGAATCGAGGTTCGAAGCCAGCCAGGGCAAGTAGTCTACATAACCCTATTTCGAAAAAACCCATCACAAAAAAGTGTTGGTGGCGTGGGTCAAGGTGTAGCCTCTGAGTTCAAGCCCCAGTACTACCACCAAAAAAAAAAAAAAAAGAGAGAGAGATGGGCCTAGTGAGAGGTCTCCCAGTCCTTGGGGGTATGCCCTTGAAAGGCATAGAGGGACTCTAGCCTCTTCTTCTTCCTCTCTTCCATTTTCCAGCGTGAGGCGAGCAGCTCTTCTCCTCTATGGATGGCCCGCCATGATGTGTTATACAACCACAGGCCTAAAAGCAACAAGGCCAACTGATGGCTCCACAACTCTGAGCCAAAATCAACCTTTTCTCTCTCTTTATTTTTGTTTTGTTTTTTGAGACAGGATCTCACTATGTAGCCCAGGCTGGCCTCAAACTCCAAATTCTGCTGCCTTAGCCTCTTAAGTGCTGGGATTACAGGTATGTATCACCACACCTGGCAACCTTTTTCTTGTTACAGGTTGATTACCTCAAGTATTTGTTACAGTCATGGAAGGCAGGCTAACACACTAAGGCAGATATTATGAGTTTATGGTGAAATTCAATACAAATAAGTATCTCCTGCATCTATTTAAATGCACTTCAATCAAACAAACTGGATACCTTAACCTGACTATAAAGATGCCGCTGCCTCTTTAGAGCTGCTTAGCAGCATCTTTTAGAAAGCAGCTCAGAGACATCGAAATGCCTCACCTGAGAAAGACACCCAAAATCTGTTCATTTTATCTGCTTCCATAAGTAAGAAAAATCAATTCTTGACAGTGCCTGGGCTTAAAACCCCATTTGGGCATTTCCTTGAGAATCGATACGACCCCTAACACATACCTTGGTGTTGGTCTCCATCTGCTTAGCGTGGAGTCATTTGCATTTTTGAACCTTAAGTTCCTGAAGTCTTTGCAAAGGCCACTACCTGGACTGCCCAATCCAATTGGTGCATCCAGCCCAGACTAAGGCAACCATGTTTCTCCCAAATGACCAAGTCCTGCGTAGGGTTCAACACCGTTCTTGGCACATCGTGACCACTGGAGGATCCTGCTTTCCAGCTTCCTGTGTCTGGGAATTGAGTCTTGGAATAGACTTCCAAGATCAATAAACTTCTGCTACAAGCATCTGCCAGGCAAAATAACAGAAGCAGCTTAAAGAAAGAGAACTGGGCCAGAGGCAGCAGCTCAAGTCTATATAATCCAAGCTACTCAGGAAGTGGAGATTTCGAAGATCTTGGTTCAAGGCCAGCCCAGGAAAAAAGTTCAAGAGGTCCTATCTTAACCAATAAAAGCTGGGTGCAGAAGTGCAAGCCTGTCATCCCAGCTATTTAAGAAGCAAAAAATGGGAAAGTATAAAGCAAGATCCTTTCTCCAAAATAATCAGAGCACCTCAAGTATTAGAGCACCTGCCTAGCAAGGGTGAAGCCCTGGATTCAAACCCCAGTACCACCAACAAAAATAAAAGAAAAAAAAGAGAGCGCATCCAAGGAGGATCACCCAAGAACAACCCCCCCCACAAACACACACCGCAACACGAACACTACAAAATAACACAGTATCTTAGAAATAAGCCAGTACAACCAGCTGCCTCCCTCTGACTCACGATCCCCTCTTCTTCCCTGTCGACCTTCTTCCATTATCCGTTCTCCATCCCTGGAGGAGCCCTCAGCCCTCGCTCCTTTTCCTTCAAAGCACGCCCAAACCAGGAATCCATTTCAGAGTCTGTCCTGCTCCTGGACATCGAGGGGGATCCTCCAAATAAAAGGCCTGGGACAGAGTTAAAAACAAAACAAAACAGGACAAAATAAAGGCAACACCATGGTACATAGGTGACTTGTTCCATCTTACTGGGAGTTAGAGAACCAAACTCAAAAAA